AGCACCACGTTCGAAATCTGTTCCATGGATATTTCTACCCCGCGATACCCCACAATCTGTCGATCCAAAGACCATCGAGCTTGGTGTTTAGCAATGGAAGCCTTACTCACCTTGAATAAATATAAACGCCACTGAAGAATGTAACCGAAGGGGGTCTCGGCTAATTGTTGAAAGAACTTCTTGCAGAGCGTGGTGAGGAGAATGGGAATTTGATCTTCGTCCTCTTGCTCTTGAAAACAGACAAAACCAAAGAGGATCAGTTGCGCCGTCCACGTGAGAGCCGACAGGTAACTATTAAAATTTCCTGGCTCTTCCCACAATCCCCGCCCATAAATCATGCGACTCTTCATAGCACAAAAACTCAAGACCGGTGATTTAAACGGTGCACTTCCAATCGAGTGACAAATCAAGGCTAGATATAATCGTCGAATAGCATGCTTCAAAGCTAATTCAGATTCTTCGGGATCTTCCATATTCAAGGCTTCCATGATAGCATCCATCGCACGAATTTGGGTTGAGGTCGGTTCGATAATATCACGTGGTAATGATTGATCCGATTCCGTGGCGGTGAAAAAGCCATCCTCCGAATACACCACTCGATAATAATATACCAAGAGTTGTTTCCCGATCAGGAAGTATTTGACCAACGTCGAAGCATTCTTGTGATATCGGAACCCATCCGCCTTGCCACTCGCTCCGGAATAAAATTCATTGAGGATGTTAGCTCGCTGCTGAGTCATCTTACGATCGGGGGATGTATCAGAGCACAATTGATAGGCATCTCGCATCATAGCTTCGGCGGCATGGAGGATGCGAACAAGTTGAGGATCATCCGCTTCAAGGTAATCTCCATCCAATTCCTTCTTCGATGGGAGCTTATACGAAGCCCAAATCTCCTCGTCTTTTAAATGAACTAAGTGAAAAGGGAACTTGGTGACGTCGTGCAACCACGGTACCCTCTCGGAGCGAGATTCCTTAATGTCCCGAACGACGCCAGCTGCCTTGAAGAGATCCTTTTTGACATTCAACGCATCTTGCTCAATCTGATCAATGGAATCCTTCTCCGACCGGGTTAAAGGGATCACATCGCCATTTCCACCATGGGGCCCAGGATTTGCAACAACCACAAAGTAATCAACATACCTCGGTGCAGTAAAGTACGTTTGGAGTAAGCATGCCTGCCATAGCGGGGTCGCTTTGTGCTCGCTCGCTTTCCGGCCATGAGTCACCATGTGATCCCGCATTCGTGGGAGGTGAGTGGTTAAAAAGGATGGATCGCATGATAAACACTGAAAGCCGTGGAAGACTCTGAGATGCTCTAACTGCGCAGCCCTACGCGCAGGTTTGTCTTCTCGCAATTGACGCTTCGTCTTCAGACTTAACGATTGAGCGTAGCTCAGTTGAGCTTTCAAAAGATCACCTGACAGGCGGTGGGGTTCGGCTCGGAGGTGTTGCGCGATACTTCGGGCCCCTGGAGCGATGCACGTCTGGCACTGTGTGCAGATCAGAACCTGGTGGTCAGAGTTGTATGCGAGGTCGCAGGCCATGCGGAATGGCAACGAGACGTTCTACGGTTGCAAGATCGGGATGGGAGGCGGGGATGAGGAACCCAAGAAATCCCCTTTTGTGAAATCCCTTTTATAAAATCATGTGGGGGTCGTGTGGGGTCTTGGGGTTATGTTCCCAGACAAATAACGGCCGTGCCCTCCTTTTATGCCATGAAAGGGCCCTCGCATAAGGGGTAGGATTATTCTATTAATATAGGATTTAATATATTAAAGCCTATTAGGTTATTTTATTAATATAAAGAATAAGATTGTATTATAGGGCTAAATAATTAAATAAGATTGAAATAATAGATATAATAATATTAGGATGTTATTACTTTAATAATATATGCTGTATATTGAAGGGTTATTACTTTTTCAATTATAATTAATAATATATTGTCTATTATATAAGGTAATATCGAAATCGATATTTTATAGTAATATTATATATTAATATAAAGTACTATATACCTAAATCGATATTTTATAAATGTTTTTCAAAAGATCTAACTTTTCTCTCCATCATATAGGATAATTATAAACATATTAATAGAATATCAAATACTATATTAATATATCTTTTATAAAATATTTCTTAAAAAAAGCAAAACTTTTTGAAAAGTTTTCACCCTTCATTTTTCTATATTCAAAAACCTTCTTCTTCATAATTGAAATCCCTTCATAAAGCCTTTAAATACTAAAAAGCCCAGATCATTATAGGAATCTATAATTTAATCTCTTTCATTAATCATATTCGATATAATAAACCTATTATTAATAATTCTAATATAAATACACTAGACCCTTTTCCCTAATACTAACAACAATATTACTTCAATTCGAATAAATATTAATTCAAAAACTTTAAAAAAGGGTAAAAGGTAATATTCTAATTCGAATATAATAAAGATTAATGGGTTTTTCTAAGAAAATCTTTCCTTAGTTTTTCGTGTTTCTTTTTCTATCTAGCTATATTAAGATTATGTAATATACTTATATCTAATTCTAATTGAATGAAGTAAATAGAAAAAAGAATAAAAACCTACTTTTCCTTAAACTTCTTTAATAAGATTCTTGAGCAACCTTCTAAATAATTCTTTTCAAGTTCTTCAAATCGTTTATATTATAAATCTATTTTATTTAAAAACCTTCCTCCTATTAAATCCTTCGATATACTCATAAAAACTTTATATTTTTTATTCTATTGTAATAATCTTTCTCTTTTTATTTAATTCTTTTTGAATATTATAAAAGCTGTTGGGCCACTTTTTACATCAAAAATGAAATTTTTAACTTTCTTATTTATGGATAGAATTTATTAAAAAAATTTATATATATAATTCAGATCGTTCTAAATCTAATCTAAACATTTTAGATTTTTAGGGTTTTTCTGTATTGAAATCTAAAGCTTCAAAATGTCGATTTTTAAATTTGTATATGAATTACATACATATTTAAAACTTTTATAAAAGCTTTAATAAATTTTTAATAAAAATTGCTAAAAATAAACTAAAAAGCTTTATTATAAAGTTATGATACATTTATTTTAAAAGATAAAAAAAATAGAAAACTTCTTATAAATAGATTTTTAAAAGGATATCCTCAAAATTGTAGAGATTATTTATACTATTCTAAATTCATGATATATTATATCTCTATATCTGTTATTTTTTTGGATTTTCTTTTTGAATTTCTATGTAGATTTAAATTCAAAACTTTCAAAAAATATACAGTTTTCTGTTGATAATTGTTGTTAAGAAGTTATTAAAGATTTTATAAAAGTTCTAAATTTGTTTGTAATTCCCATATAAATTAAAAAATCGATATTTTGAAGCTCTAGATCTCAATACAGTAAATTTCTAAAAATCTAAAAATTTCAGATTAGATTTAGAACAATTCGAATTATATATATATATAAATTTTTAATAAATTCTGTCTATAAAGAAGAAAGTTAAAAATTCTATTTTTTGAGATTTTTGATAGTAAAGAGTGGCTCAAAACAGGGGTGGCCCGAAAGTAGGGTACTCGACTAAATTATTTAATATAGAAAAACAATTTAAAATATTAAGAAGCATATTACTTATAAATAGTTTATTTATTATATAAAAGAAATTTGTTGAAAATTCTATCCTTCGATGATAATTTATATAATAAAAATCCCTATAAAATAAATATATTTTAATTTAAAAGTTTCAAATTACTAATTTATTACTTTTCTTTATAGATATTGTATCTTATTATATTATAGAATTAATAGAGTTTAAAAAGCTTTTAAAGAACCTAAAAAAGTGATTAAAAAAAGATATTAATTCAATTATCAAAATATTATTTATTACTTTAATTTTAATACTGGAAATTTTAAAAATAAATTAATTCAAAATCGTAAAACTAATTAGTTTTTCCCTTTCTTGTTTCTTTTTCTAAAAACTTTCTTAATAAAACTTTAAAACTAACATTTCTTTTAATTTGAAATTGATTTTTACTTTCGAATATTATAAATATAAGTTAAACATTTCTTTTTTTCAAATTTAAATTTTCAAATTATATTTATAATTATATAAATAATAATATAGTTTTTTTTGACATTATAAAGGGTGGTAAAAAAAAGTGTTAAGTAATTTTTTAAATTATAAATCTTTTATTATATTTCAAGATATAAAAGAATCTAGTTCTAGTATTCATATAATAAAATATAAGAAATATTATAAAGATATTTATATTATCTTTAATTCAAAGGGGTATTATAATACTAAAAAGCTTTTAAAATAATTCAAAAATTAATATAAACATTTTATTATCAAGTTATGAATTAAGCTTGAATCTTATCTTTTAACTCTTAATTTTTTTATAGTTTATAAAAGTTAAGGATATAAAAAGCTTGAAAAAAAATTGTATTTTAATTAAACCTTTGAGAGCAACCAAACTTGAAATATTTAAATTATATCGAATTTTAGAGAACTTAAACATTATAATATCTATTATACCTAGTAAATGTACTATATGTATTCACCTCCTCTTCTAGCTTTATTTTTTCAGTTTTCCTTCTCTAATTCCTTTTTCGATTTCGCTTCTTTTAGCTTTTCTTCTTTTAACTTTTCTTCTAATTCTACTTTTTTCGATTTCTCTTTTAATTTCCCTCCCTTTGAATACCCTTCTGACTTTTCTTCTTTTAACTCCCCTCCCAGCTTCGCTTCTTTCGGCTTCCCTCCTCCTGGCTCCAAAATAATCTATTAAACAATATTTCAAGAAAAAATCTGTCTTACAATCGTACAAGATCCTAAATCCATGTAATTTTACATGTAATTCAAATTTTCCCTTCAAGAAATCACAAAAACAATCGAATAAAAACAAGTGAATGACACGAACATGATGTAATTGAAGATAAAACTATTCTTGAATACCCCAATTGTCTCTAAGATAGTGATATGGTCTACATGCTGATATACCTTGTTATTCAATCTTTTCGAATGGGTTTTCCCATTGAGAAGTCCATTCTATTAATTGATGAAAATCTTTACACAAATGTTGAGTACCAAATCCTTGTACAATAGCTTTACCTTTGGATCCTCTGCCCACAGGCTCGACTGTTGTGTCAGCTGTACACATGAGACTTTGCCGGAGATACTCTAGGCAATGCTGTACACGAGCATTTGCTGAATTCTCAGCATGACTGGAATTTCCTCCCTCTGAATGGTTTCCATTACGTATAAGCCAATAGGCATGGCGGATTCCGTCCTAATTTCGAGCAGTTAGACTTATGCATGCCTGATTATGTTCTTTACAAATGATATGTTTTAAGTCACTTACCAGGCAGTGAAGCTGATGAAAGACAGCAAAAGTAACAGGGTCGGGTCCGACATCAAGGTGTTCAAAGAAACCATCATTCAGGGGAAAAAGAGAGTTCCAGCGTTGGTTCGTGAAGTTCGAAGGGGCCTCAGCGAAGTCGAATTCACGTTCGAAAGTAATGGGGACATTGCTCACTAGCCTGGAATCAACTTTAAACGCATTTTTGGAAGTACATATGTAGAAGCTTACACTGTATCAAACTGTTGTTGCCCCTTATTACCCAATGCCTTCCTATGAGATAACCACTGATTCCTGAGATGATAGATGCCAACAGTATTAAGACGGTGATCAATGTACTTCTTGATAACTTCAATGGTTCAGTAAAGAGACTTCCACAGCGGCTAGATGAGATCGAGTCTTTGTCCAAGTCTTTGTCCGAAAGGATACTATACTGGCTCCTTCTGATACCTGTCCAAAGATCCATTGGGAAGTCTGCGATACACTATAAATGTTCTCCCCGAAATGCTTTATTTCGTCGAAAAATATGAAATGAATGCTGGACATATGCGAGTAACGACCAAACGATTTTAGAAGAGTTGATGATCCTCTTGGAAATCAGCGCTTGTATTGAATTCGCTTGCTTGTTGTAGGCTCTCTTCGAAGAATATCCTAGGTTTATATATCTAGTTTGTAATGGATCATTAGTAGATCCTATACCTAATAATGAGGCCGATTTGAATCGGATCGGATCTTTCAATATCGATTCAAGTAACAAAAAGAAAGGGCAACCTATTAAATTGGATCCATTTTTCAATCATCATTCCTGTAATTTCATTTCAAAAAAATTTACAGTTGGAAAGAATGCGAAAGTCTAAAAAATCCCTCAAGCCACATTACGAGATAGAATCGATGGCTGAACTCAGAGAATGAAAACTCGAGCAAATAACCTTAATTTGATTGAAACAAAAGAAGAAGCATGAATCACGCCATGTGTACGCTGATAAATGTGTTGGATCGAGCTAGTCGATACTAATTTGACCGGTATTTCATCAGAGATATTGTCGTCATACGAATGTTCTAATCATGTTTAGCGGATGTTTTGTCTATTGATTGGGCTACTAGTAAGTATACAGACTTATAAGACACTTAAAAAGAAAGTACAATTTTACATTAAAACACATTAACTTCAAGATGTAATTAAAATTCAATTATGTAATAAATATTCTTTAGATGAAGATTTTAGGTTTATTAAGTATCAGAATATAATATTTTCAAAAAGAAATTAAAAAACTTAAGATTTAGATTTAAAAAGTTTAATATTATGTTTTCTTATTAAAAAACTTAATAAGAGATTATATAATCAATTATAAAAGTTTTGAGTTTTTTCTTTTTGATTTAATTTTTAAATTATATAGAATTCTTATGTTTATAAGTTATATATTTTAATTTTAAAGGAATTTATTAAAAAATTAAATTATAATTGAACTATTAAAATTAATCTTTTTAATATAGAATTATACTTTACTTATAAGCTGTTTCATGAGTTCGTACACCTACTAGTAGGCTCATTATTCGAGAGTAAAGTATTAATATTAAATTATAAGACTCTTGTAAACGATATATCTTATAAGACTAAGTAATTACTGAGTTAATACTAGTAGGTCTGAGTATTAAAAGTAGATGATGATACGATCATATACTAGAGCTTATTAATAGAGGTCAAACAACTAGAATAAGAAAGCTAAAGAGAAAAGAGATTCTTAAGAGATCTCATTATCTCTTATATAATAATAATCGTTTAGTTCAAGCTAGTCTTGAAAAAAGGTGTGTATGATGAGTAATCACAGCGTCATGTGATACTAGTCAAGGATGACTCTGATATCTAGCCGTTAATAACCGCTTCATGAGCTAGCTGTTTGAGTAGGCATATGCCCATCGAAACCTTTCATAATCTCTGGTTGTGTCAGTACGCTGGATTGCTTCAAGTTCCGCCTCTACAGTATCTAGATTGGCTAAGTGGTAGATTTTTCTTCAATTGGATCATTAGGAAGAAATGCCTACCTTTTATACGAGGGACTTTTTTTGTATGGGTAATCAATCGATGTTACCCCACTTGAACCCACTTTCCGATAGGAAAAGTTCGATGGGAAAAGTTGTTTCTCTCTAGTCTGTCTCTCGGTTTTCTGATTATTATTCTAAGGATTTTTTAATGATTAGTACTAGTAGTGACTCATTTCGATAAAAGGAGAGTAACCTGAGAATAACCCTTCAATTAGTTACTACTCTTTCTGAATTCAGTTGAAAAAGAATTGAAATTCAAGTTTGATATTTCTTATAATATGTTTTATTAGTAAGCGGGTTATATTAGTGAGTGGATTATTTTATTTTGTATATAAAATTTGTTTGTATGTAATTATATACTTTTCTTTATTTAATAATATAATTTGGAAAAAATCTGAAAATATTGAAATCTAATTATATAAATATTATAAAAATTTAATTATTTATTAAAAATTAAATTATTATAGTAGTTATTATAGAATAACTTTCTTATAATGAAAATCGTAATAATTTTATGACGATCCTATCATATTAGTGAATCGCTTAGGGACTCACGTAATTCACAATCCTATATATTACTACTTCCCTTTCAAAAGCTCTTTTAGCTCTTTACTTTAGTATTCTAAATAATGTAATTGTTATATTATACTAAGATCATATAAAATTTAAAAGCTTTTAATTACTTCTATAAAGCTTTTTACTATTAGTCTGCTTGTCGAATACCTATTATCTATTGTTTATTGTCTTTTATATCTACTTTTTTAATATAATTATTCATATGACTTTCGATTAAGATCTCTTTTTAACTTTACTCCTACAAATCTTATCTATTAACGAACTAACATCTTACTATTATATTATTTAGAGTTTTCTTATTTTATAATAAATCTAAAGATTTTAAATCTAGCATGTAAATTATAGGATTTGATTAATTTAAAGTATTAATATGCTTGTATAATCGATGTCATAATGAAGTAGCTTATTTAGTTAATCTATTAGATCAATTCGCATTTCACTAATATTTTCATTACTTTATTAATATTACTATTGGACAGACTTAATAAGGTGTATATATATAATATGTATAAATAAAAGGGTTATTTATTTCTATTTATTCTCTTTGTATGAAAAGGAAATTACTATATTTATATATTTTGTACATATGTAGAATAAAATGTAATATATAATATTATATTATTGATTATATATTTCAATATAGGCTTAACTTTCTTTTTTGTATAAATAAAATTCGTATAAATCAAATTATTATTCAGAACTCATAACAAATAGTTATCTTATTGTTTACTCTAATTCTTATTTCCTATAATAAATTAAATAAGTATAATAAACTTTGTTTTAAATTAATTAAATGTTGTATTAGAAAACTATTAAAACTATTAAAATCTAAATCATTTTATCGTATATATATTCTCTGATTATATTAAATAATATATCTAAATTTAATACTATACTAATTCTTTTGAAATTATGAAAAATTTAAATTTAATTAATTATTTGAAATGTATATTAATTTTTGTTGAAATATAAGTAGTTTATACTATTAGTTATTTTATATTTGTTATTGGTTTTATATTATATATAATATATTTATATAAATAAGATTCTTTAATTATATAATATAGTAAATGCGATAGCAGATTCAAATCAAAATCCTATTCTCTCTATTAGTAAACAAGTTCTTATACCATATTATCACAATAATCTTCAATTTACTCTTTTAATAATATCAAATAATCCTACTTTATATATATATAATCGAATTATATCTATACAAATCTATATAATACAAATATTATATATAAATAACTTCTAAAATATAAAATTATAAGATTTTTATTGAGAATTTTTATAGAAAATATTTTTATTATAATTTTCTACCCTTTTCAAATTATTATTATATATAGGAACATTTCAATAATAATTATAGGAATTATAAATAAAAAGATTATAGAATTTAATGTATACAATCTGATCATTTATATTCTTATATTATTAGTAAATGATACTAATCTTTACCTTCTCCTTATACTTTTTTTAATCAAAGTTCTATTTCTCCTTTATTAATTAATCCAAAACCTCTAATATTTATAACGGTAAAAACCCCGAATGTCATCATTTCATGTATTGATACCTCAACTAGCACGTAACAGAGCGAAATATCATTATTTCGTTACACCATCGCTAAATTTATAGGCTAGCAAGTTTCGAATTTAATACACAACCTTTTAGAAATTAATGAAATAAAAAGAAAAGATATAAAATTGTTAATTAAAACTCAAGAAATTCAATAAAATAAATTATTTTAAATTACCTCCAAAATTGAAATTAAAATTCAATTTAGTAGTATTTCAATAATAGGGGGGTTAGCGCTAAAGCTTGATTACCGTAACAAAATCAATTGGAAAACTATTAAATTAAATTTTAATTTCAATTTTGAAGATAATTCAAAGTAATTTATCTTATTGAATTTCTTGAATTCTAATTAATAATTTTATCTCTTTTCTTTTTATTTCATTAATTCCTAAAAGGTTGTATATTAGATTGAAAAATTAATAAGCGTTACAAAATGCTAATTGAGGTCATTTTAGTTATAAATCTGACATTTGAGGTATCAATACATAGAATGATGACATTCAGGGTTTTTACCATATTTATAAATGCTTTCTTTTATTTAATTCTAATTTTATTAAGAAATTATTTATTATTAATTAGTTTATACATTCCTTTTCTTGTTATATAATCCTTAGGTCTTCTTTATGTTTTTCTGATTTGAAATTGAATTATTTATTAAAAACTTTTAAAAAGGAAAAAAAAACTATAAAATAGAATCAAAAAATAAAATATTTTTAATTTTATTTTTAATTGTAATTTGTATTTGTATAAAGATTTAATTAATTTTTATACGAATTTCTTATTTCACCTATTCTTTAATATATATAATAAAAGTATTTATATTAATAAATCTTTTTAATACTTTATTAGGATTTTCTTTTATTATTACATTAACAATATTGTCAAGTTTATTAATTTATTGAATTTCAATAAGCTCTTCTTTTTTTATATAATTACTATAATATTACTATATTAATTATAAGTCTCTTTTCTTTTATCATATTTAATTTGATAAAATATTTATATAATAAATATAAGTCTATATAAACAATAACAAGAATATTAGATAAATTTAATTAAAAGATAATGATTTATAGAATTGATCTTATTATAAGATTAATATTTACACCTTCTATTATACTATATATTTCAGAAGTTAGTATACTATATATAACTCTTTTACTTTTCGTATTATTATAATATATAATATTCCTAGTCAATTTGAATATGTCTTTATTTAATATATTCTTATTTATTAATATAATAATAAAACCTATTTGATTATTTAAA